ATTAGTGCTCTGGGGTGCAAAAATGCTGGCAACACCTCCCCCACCCCTCCAGTACATAAGTACTTCCGGACCCTCATCTGTACCAACGACGTTCAGGGTAAAACAGACGAGCGGATTATTAAGATCCCAAGGGAGGCCCACTGTGGCATCTCAACGCCAACAGCAAGATGAAGGGTCACCCTCGGCTTGACTCTTTCCCTTAAGTAGCAATGGTGGGAAAAGCCCAAGGCAAAGCTGCCAGTTACTCAGGTACAATTCTAAAAAGAGGTGGCAAACAGGAGAACTTGCTGGCCTCCTTCCTCTGTGACGTACTTGCCCTTCCCGATCCACCACATAACCTATTTGTTCACGGGACATGAGATCTCTGATGTCCTCCAATGAGACCCAACTTACCCTGTTAGCTGCCATTGACTGCACGGTGCACGCCTCCACTGTCTCCATCAAGGCCATCCCTCACAAGCCGAGTAGCTAAACACACTTTATTTTCTTATGTACAAGGTTAACCTGGCAAGCACCAGAGCTGGAGCAGATGTATGTGATACAGAACTGAAACATAGTACCCACAATCTGATGAGATGTTTCTAAGGCTTTAGTTACATAGTTTCATACTCAAGAGCTCTCACCCCCACAAAGGCCATTTAATTAGAAAAATTCTTGGGTGTGATTCTATGCATTTCAGAGTAGCTATGTCATCACTGATTCCTGCTTTACCTTTTCCAGCCCTCGGATTTATTTGAAATAGGTAATTCCGTGAATTACAGCCAATGAGTTCATGAAAGGAGGACCAAGAAGAGAGCGACTTCAGGGCAAAAAGCAAAACCCAGCTGATATATGCATACAAATGTCCAAAACGAAGTTGAACACTGAGACACCACCAGTATATATTTTTAAAAAATTTTAAATTTAAATCTTAAATTAATTTTTAACAGATTCAATGTGACTTACAGATACAATTCTAAGAACATAATGATATTCCCTCCCTCCCTCCCCCAGGATGGCAGTATCATTGCAAGAGGCTCTGTGTCATCAAGCTCTTGGCATTTGACTTACTAGCTGCAAACATCCCTGTTCTTCAGCTCTCATTTTGCAAGCACCACACATTGTGCTTTCACAGACAGGTAATTCTCATAACTGCTCCCCAAAGCCCATGCTCATCAGCTTAATTGTTTTTCCAGCAGGGCTTCTCCAAGCACAGTACATGCGCCATGAGTCAAAAGTGAGATTTTATTTTGTAAACTCTACCGTTACTTATTTGAGGGCCAGAGAGAGAGAGAGAAAGAGAGAGAAGAGAGAGAGAGAGCGCACGCGAGAGAGAGCGAGAGAGAGCTAGCTCCCATGGCTGGTTCAACTCCCCAGCTGACTGCAACACCCTGGAGCAGGGAATGCAGCCTACATGGGTGGTAGGAACCCAATCACTTTAGCAGTGACCACTGCCTCTCAGGGTCTCATGAGGAAGCTGGAGTCAGGAGCTAGAGCCAGGAATCAAACCCAAGGATGCCAACATGGGATGCAGTCATCTTGACTGGTGTCTTAACCACTAGGCTTACACCTGCTCCAGAATGTGACATTTTGAGAGGCAGGTGGATGAACACATTAATATTTTAATAGTTACATATGTGGGTTTTTTTTAATCATGGATTAGAATATAAGTAACCAACTAGCAGATCTTTTACGGATCTTATTGCTTAGGATCTGGCTAATTTTTGCATCAGATTGCCTACTTTGCAAGAGCTAGAAAAATAGTCAAGAGGGGCCAGCACTGTGGCGCAGCGGGTTAATGCCTTGGCCTGAAGCACTGGCATCCCATATGGGTGCTGGTTTGAGTCCCAGATGGTCCACTTCTGATCCAGCTCTCTACTATGGTCTGGGAAAGCAGTAGAAGATGGCTCAAGTCCTTGGTCCCCTGCACCCATGTGGGAGACCCAGAAGCTCCTGGCTCCTGGCTTTGGATCGGCACAGCTCTGGCCGTTGTGGCCATCTGGGGGAATGAACTACTGGATGAAAGACCTCCCTTTCTCTCTCTCTCTCTTTCTCTCTCTCCTGGCTCCTGGCTTTGGATCGGCACAGCTCTGGCCGTTGTGGCCATCTGGGGGAATGAACTACTGGATGGAAGACCTCCCTCCCTCTCTCTCTCTCTCTCTCTCTCTCTCTGCCTCTCCTCCTCTCTCTGTGTAACTCTGACTTTCAAATAAATAAATAAATCTTTTTTTTTTTTAAAGAAAAATAGTCAAGAGTTATTGGGTGGGCGGGGGGAGAGAGAGAGAATGAATGAATCTTCTTTCTGTTGGTTCACTCCCCAAATGCTTATAAACAGCTGGGGCTGGGGCTGTGTTCAGCCAGAGCCAGGAGCCTGGCACTCCATCAAGGACTCCCATGTGGGTGGCAGGGACTCAGTTACTTACCCACCATCTGCAGCCTCCCAGGATGTGCATTAGCAGGAAGCAGAGCAGTCGGGGACTCAAAGCAAGTACTTCAGTAAGGGATGTGGGTGTCCCAAGCAGTGGCTTACCTGCTGTACTGCGATGCCTGCCCCTGTACCATTCTCCTTAAATCAGTACTCAACTTAGTGTGTCAGCCTGGACACTGAAGGATCCCCAACAGATGTACAGAATCGAATGCTCTGAACTTCAAAGAACAGTTTCTTTTCTTACCGCTCTCTTCTCCATCTGCTAATCCTCTTACCTTTCGAACCTCAGCAGACACACAGATACAAATGCACAAATTGTTTAACCCTGGCAGATTACCCAAGCGAAGGTGAAGTGAGGGAGAGCGGAGACTCCCAGAAGCAAAGAGCCCTGGTCGTTCATCCCTCTGTCCCCAGCATGGCTCATCTCCGAACTCCCCCAGGGTGGCCACAGCTGATTTCTGAGCAAGTGTCCAGGTCAGACAGCAGCCAGGCACCAAGGCCCCGGCTAATGCACAAGTCCTGCAGGAAAGTGCCTCAGGGTGACACATTATTTGCAGCTTATTTTTTTCTTTCTTGTTGAGGTGACATAAACACCTGCAACTTTTGGCTGTGGCTGGTCATGAAGTGGGCTCACTTTAAAAAACAAAAACAAAAACCGAAAACCAAAAACCAAACCAAAACCAAAAACCAAAAAACTTCTCATTACACAAGGAACACATAAAACTTTCTCCTTGTTAAAACTTAAAATGGTAAAGCTTGGACTAAAGTTCCTCCCTCATCTCAACCTCAGATTGCTACTACAGTCGGTGCTAGGCCCACTCCTTGGGACCACTTTCACAAACCTGGAGTGTTGTCCTTTCAGACTGCTTTCTATGCACTTATGCATCTTTGAAAAGTAAGTAGAGTTGTTTTGTGGTGGCTTCATTTAGTACACAAGTGGTAAAACACTCAAATTCCTTTAAGTTGCTTATTTTTTTTAAAGCTTTATTTATTTGAAAGGTATAGGCCTGGAAAGAGGGAGGGAGGGAGGGAGGGAGGGAAAGAGAGAAAGGGGGGGGGAGAGAGAGAGAGAGAGAGAGAGAGAGAATCTGTGAATCTGCTGTTTTACTTCCCCAACGGTTACAATAGCCAGGGTCGGGCTTAAGCCAGGAACCAAGAATTGCACCCAGGTCTCCCACGTGAACGGCAGGGGCTCCAGAACTTGGGCCAATTTGTGTTGCCTTCCCAGATGCATTAGCAGAAAGCTGAATTGGAAACAGAGCATTTAGAACTCAAAGTAGTACTCTGATATGGGATGCTGCTCTCACAAGCAGCACCCACTGCCTCATAACACCGGCCCCGGTAAAGCGCTTTTCTGAATCTAACAACATATTCTAACAATCTTCTCATCTCAGGTTAACAGTTGCTGCCTACTTACTTTCTTCCCTTTCCTTAGGCAATTTCCTTAAGTACACAATACACATATACATACACTGGAAATGTATTTGATATTTATCTTTGAATATGGTTATCATTCACCTTAATCTACTTGATAGGCAGAGTGATAGAGAGACAGAAGCAGAGAGATGGATCTTCTATCCACTGGTTAATTCACCAAATGCCCACTGCAGCTGGGGCTGAGCCAGGCTGAAGCCAGAAGCTAGGAACTCCGTCAAGACCTCCCACATGGGGTGTCAGGGGCCCAAGCACTTGGGCCTCATCTGCCGCCTCCCAGGATGCATTAGTGGAAGCTGGCTCAGAAGAATAGCCAGGACTTGAGCCAATAAAATATGAGAAGCCTCTCAAGGGATGGCCTAACCCACTTCACCACTACGCCTATCCCTGTTTTTATTTTAAAATGTAAAAATATCACACAAGTCAACCTTTGGTTTTTCTATGACTTTTTTTTTTCTTATAGAACAACAACACACAATAGGAACCTTTCCTTTAAGTTCTGCTCTTTCCAGCTTCTAAAAAACTGACACTTATTTTCATAAAAACAAAACACAGATGGCAAGCTGAGTGAAGGACTGGATTTAGTTTCATAACTCCTAGTGCAGCATCAAGTTCATAAGACACAGAGTTAGGCAGAATTCCAGCTTACAGCCTTAGTACTTGTTAACCAACATCTCTGACTCTCAGACTCATCATTGCAAAATGAAGGCACTATCTGCCTTTCAGGGTCACTGTCAAGACTCCACAGGGGCTGGCGCTGTGGCGCAGCGGGTAAAGCTGCCGCCATCCCATATGGGTGCTGGGTAGAGTCCTGGCTGCTCCACTTCTGATCCAGCTCTCTGCTATGGCCTGGAAAGCAGTAGAAGATGGCCCAAGCGCTTGGGCCCCTGCACCCGCATGGGAGACCTAGAAGAAGCTCCTGGCTCTTGGCTTCGGCTCAGCACAGCTCTGGCCGTTGCAGCCATCTGGGGAGTGAATCAGTGGATGGAAGACCTCTCCCTAACTCTAGCTCTAGCTCTAGCTCTAGCTCTAGCTCTAGCTCTAGCTCTAGCTCTAGCTCTAGCTCTAACTCTAACTCTAACTCTAACTCTAACTCTCCTTCTCTCTGTGTGTAACTCTTTCAAGTAAATAAATCTCTCTTAAAAAAAAAAAAAAAAAAAAAAAAAAAAAACCTCTATAAAGAAGGAAAAAACATGGAGAGTATCCAGCACCAGGTGAACCCTGAGAACAGGACAAATACTTCAAGCTTCATGGCCAAGTTCTGCTCAACGGCGCAGAGTGCAAATCAGTTTCTATCATGTAGGATTTCTAGTTTATGCCAAAAAAATTATTAGTTCTCCATAGGATAGCTTATTAGGATGGCTACCGTACTCTGATTTATAGGTCAGGGAATCAATTCAATACTAAGCGATATGCACAGGTAGATCCATCTTGGTGCCAGGATTAGCTTCTCCAAGAACCACCATGCTGCATTTCTCATAACTTATCACTGAATTAATAAACAGAATGCTTGCAATTGCTACCTGAAACGTCCTCAGCAGGTTGTTTGGAGTCATGCCTGCCTCCGTTAAGGTTCCTCAATGACTACTTAAAAACAAATAAAAGGAATAAAATCGTTTAGGCAGAGAAACAAAACAAAAAAGGAAAAGGAAAATAAAACTAACACCAATCACCACTGCCACTAGGATTCCAACCAGCAGATAGAGGAACAAGTTTGTCTGAACTTTGTAGTGAGGCTCAAAATGACAGCCTATGGGACTGGACTGGGGCAGGGGGCAGACAGTGGAGGCAGGCTCTGGCTCAATTTCTCAGCATTACATGGAGGGTGGTTTTGTGACAACAGCAATATTTTCTAGGAGCCTCATGAGCTGTGGTCTGTTTAACTTTGCTTCTGCTCCATCACTGTGACCAAGTCACCAGACATCACATGTGGTGACAGTCTCTTAAGGTGACCCCTGTGGTCCCTGCCTCCTGGTGTTTATATGCTTGGGTGACGCCCCCTCCCCCGGGTGTGGTGCTTCCAGCCTTACTGAACCCACCAAAGTGACAAGACGTATATAATTGTGTTACATAAGACTGTCATGGGGCTGGTGCTGTGGTGTAGTGGGTAAAGCCTCCATCTGCAGTACCAGCATCCCTTATGGGTGCCAGCTCCAGTCTCAGTTGCCCCACTTCCAATCCAGTTCCCTGCTAATGTGCCTGGGAAAGGAGCAGAGGAAGGCCCAGGTCCTTGGTCCCCTACACCCATGGGGGAGACCTGGATGAAGCTCCTGGTTCTTAGCTTTGGTCTGTTGCAGTCATGTTGGGGAAGGAACTAGCAGACGGCAGACCTCTTTTTGCCTCTGCCTCTCTCTCTCTCTGTAACTCTGTCTTCAAATAAATAAACCTTTAAAAACAATTGGGCCATGCATCTGTATTTTGAGGCAATTCTCCTTTCCGCTGGCATTCAAGAAGCAATATGCCATGTTGGGAAGTCCCTGTGGATAGCAGCTGAAGGTGGCCTCTGTCCAACAACCAAAAGAAACAGAGATCTCAGTCCTATAACCACAAGGAACTGAACACTGTCAATAGTGATGTTGTTTGCAAAGAGTTCCTTCCCCAGGCAAACTGCTGATGAGGGCTTGTTGTGGTACAGTGGGTTAAACTGCCTGCTTGTGCCACCTGCATCTCATGTGGCCACTGGCTAGAGTCCCAGCTGCTCTGCCTCCAATCCAACTCCCTGCTAATGTACCAGGGAAGGCTGCAGAGAACGTCCCATGTACTTAAGTCCCTGCCACCCATGGAGGAGACATGGCGTTCTGTGTTCCTGACTTTGGACTGGCTGTCATTGCCATTTAGGGAGTGAACTAGATGACAGAAGATCTCTCTCTCTCTCTCCTCCTCTCCTCTTCCCTCTCTCTGTTTATTGCTCCTTCAATCTTCAGTCAAATAAATAAATCTTGAAGAAAACTCAGGGGCTGGCTTTGTGACATAGTGGATAAAGCTGACACCTGTGATGCTGGTTCATGTGTTGGCACCTGCACTTTTGATCCAGCTCCCTGATAACAGTCTGGGAAAAGCAGCAGCAGCTGACTCACATATTTGGGACCCTGCAAGGGAGGCCCAGATGAAGCTCTTGGCTTACGAACCAGTGGATGGAAGATCTCTCTTTCTCTCTCCTTGTCTCTCCTTCTCTGTAACTCTCTCAAAATTAACAAATAAATCTTAAAAAATAATAATAAAAACAACTCTAATGAGACCATAGCCCTGGCCAATGCCTTGCATTCAGACCTGTGAGATTACAAATAGCTACACTGGGCTCTTAAACCTCAAAAACAATACTGTCATCAATGTGTCTGATCTTTTAAAATGACTTATTTTACTTACTTGAAAGACAGAGCTACAGAGAGAGGTAGAGACAGAGAGAGGGATAGGTCTTCATCTGCTGTTTCACTCCCCAAATGGCCACAACAGTCAGAGCTGAGCCAATCCAAAGCCAGGAGCCAGGAGCTTCTTTGAGGTTTTCCACATGGGCACAGCAGTCCAAGCATTTGGGCCATCCTCCACTGCTTTCCCAGGTGCATTAGCAGGGAGATGGATAGGAAATGGAGCAGCCAGGACTCGAACTGGCACCCAAATGGGATGCTGGCATTGTAGGCCAGGGCTTTAACCCGCTGCGCCACAGTGTGTTAAGACTCTGAATTTGTGGTAATGTTACAGATAACTAATACATCATCTTTGCCTCCATGTCTTCATCTGAATTAAGGGGAGAAGTCATGCACAGTCCAGACTCACCAGCAATGAGACCAAAAAAAAAAAACAAACAAACAAAAAAAAAAAACCAAAACAACCACAGTTGGGCCCCTGCGTCTGTTTGGTGCCTAAACTGAAACACGTCCTACAGCATTATTCCCAAACCCAGGGTTGTTTTTGTGTTTTCGCTGTCTGCCTGCAGTGAGAGAGGACAATATGCATTTTCATGTTGAAAGCTGCATCGTGAGCACATGACTTTGCCGGGAGATTGTCCTGACTTCCTAACTGATTTATCAGCCACCACGTCCTGACTTCACTACACAACTCTCCCAGGCCTTGACCTTCTTTAAAAGACTGTTCCAGGGAGACCGCATCCTTCTTCCCAAACCTTCACTGCCTGCAGAATGACAGCCAGACCGTTTGGTGAGTGACAAAAGGTGAGTAAAGGCACCTGGCACAACACCATCATCCGGCACCGAAGCTACAACTGCACAGTGGCCTCCACCACCCGTCAGTCACCCTCGCTGCCCTGGTGTCCAGCACAGAGCTTGCCATGTAGCAGCTGCCCCTACACTTCCTCCTTTTTCTCCTTTTTCTTTCAAGGTTTATTTGTTTGAAAGACAAAATGACAGGCAGAGGGAGAGATAGATCTTCCATCTGCTGGTTCACTCCTCAAATGGCCACAACAGCCAGGGCTGGTCCAAGCTGAAGCCAGGAGCCAGCAGCTGCCACCCAGTTTCCTACATGGATGGCCGGGACCCAAGCACTTGGGGCATCCTCTGCTGCCTTCCCAGGAGCATTTGCAGGAGAATGAGCATAGTAGGTGGGAACTGAACCAGCACTCCAATAAGGGATGTCGGTGACACCACAGCAGTGGTTCAACCCACTGTGCCAAAGATTCTCTTATTTTCCTGGTATTGCTTGAAAAGAGTGAACTCTCAATTTTTTAAAAATGAGAATCAAGTACACTTGCCCTTGATTTTAGAAATAGTGGTTGGGCCACAGACACTCAGTACAGAGTGCAGGGCTCTGTGTTGCAGGTTTGAGGCAGGAGAAGGACAGCACAGCTCCTGCCCTGGAGGAGCTTAGGAGGCATGGGAAGCCATCACATAAGAGACGATGACATCATAATCATGACGAGTGCCATGAACTTGGGGAAGGTGCACAGTGGAGCAAAGCCAGGGCTCCGTAGGAAGCTGAGTAGGAAGTATCTTCAAAGCAAAACATGTTCATGTTGTGATGTTTTGGGTTCCATTTATGGATTAAATGACAGGATATCTGGGATTTGCTTTAAAATGCCACCACCACGAAAACTGTATGTTGATAGGAAATAAGTAAAAGGAAGAAAGGTAAACTAGCGTGACTGTTAAGGTTGGGTGACCAGGACGTGGCGCTTCATTGTACAAATCTTGTAAATGTTGTATATACTTGAAACTTCTACAGTTAAAAAAGAATAAAGTATTTGAGGTTGGACATTTGGTCGAGTGGTTAAACTGCCAGTTAGGATACCCATGTCCTGGGTTGGAGTACCTGGGTTTGATACCTGGCTCTGTTCCTGACTCCAGCTTCCTGCTAATCCAGACCCTGGAAGGCAGCAGTGACAGCTGATGTAATTGGGTTCCTGCCACTCACACGGGAGACCTGGCTTCAGTCTCCAGTTCCTGGTGTCTTCTGGTCCAGCTCTGGCCGATGCAACCATTTGGAGAGCGAGCCAGTGGATGGGAGACTCCTCAGAGTCTCAGTTTCCCTAACTGTCCAATGCCTACAACACCATTCCCCTTACAAGGCTTTTCTTTTGGAGATTTAGATGATGATAACCTTTACATAGAGAGGCCTGGTACTACTCCTGAAAAATACAGGAGCTCTACAAAAGGTGGTTGTTATTATCATGTCATAATGGTTATTTGGAGGGTGGCCTGGTAGAGAACGCACACCTACGTGTACACAGCTGAACGATCTCACTCAACCCTCCCACTAAGACATCTTAACATGCTTGATGTACCAGTGGCTTTTTATAAAAGGCTGAACTGAACACTGATTATTTTCAGCAGGTATCCAGTTCTTTATTAGGTAAGACCACTTAAAAAAAGCTATATTTTTATTTTAATTGCAATGAATCAAGCCTCCTTCAGCTCTTACTAACACAAGAGCCGGCCTTTTATGCAGCGACATTGTTCTGCATATTCCTGGGGATCACAAAATAGCACCTACACATTGTTCTGCATATTCCTGGGGATCACAAAATAGCACCTACACACCCTGTACCTACGGAATCAGAAACTCTCTCACCGGGAGCTTACATAATTCTTCTTTACAAGGGTGCATAAAAAGGTGGAACTCTGGTTTCTTTAAAGTACAAATAACTTATGTTCAAGGAGGTTGCCCCAAGCAAATTTATATGCATTATGGTTTAGTCATGGTCCCTGAATTTATTCAGCAGTATAGACTTATGGCCTTGATCAATTTCTTCACCTCTCTCAGCCTCATTCATTTCATCTGTAAAATTGGGAGAGGGAGGCTGGAGTTGTGGCAAGGTAGGTTAAGCAGCCATCTGCAATGCTGGCATCATGTACTGGAGCACCAGTTCAAGTCCCAATTGCTCCATTTCCAATCTAGCTTCCTACTAATGTACCTAGGAGGCAACAAAGGCTGGCCCAAGTGCTTGGGCCCCAGCTTCCCACGTGGAAGACCAGGATGAAGCTCCTGGCTCCTGGTTTGTCCTAGACCAGCCCCAGCCATTGTGGCCATTTGGGCAACGCACCAGCTAATGGAAGATCTCTCTCCCTCTGTTACCCTGTCACTTAGCCTTTCCTATAGACAAATAAATCATGGAAAATAAATAAACAAACAAACAAACAGGTCGGCGCCACGGCTCACGTGGCTAATCTTTCGCCTGCGGCGCCAGCACCCTGTGTTCTAGTCCCATTTGGGGTGCCAGATTCTGTCCTGGTTGTTCCTCTTCCAGTCCAGCTCTTTGCTGTTGCCCTGGAGTGCAGTGGAGGATGGCCCAAGTCCTTGGGCCTTGCACCCACATGGGAGACCAGGAGGAAGTACCTGGCTCCTGGCTTCAGATTGGTGCAGTGCACCGGCCATAGTGACCATTTTGGGGGTGAACCAATGGAAGGAAGACCTTTTCTCTGTCTCTCTCTCACTGTCTAACTCTGCCTGTCAAAAAAATAAATAAATAACTGGAGGCAATGACAGCAGCAACATCTTGGTATCGTGAAAAGGATTAAAGGAGAAAATACTTGTGAAGTTCACACAGTAAAACTCAATAAATGTTAGCTGCTTTTACTACTTGTGCACACGGATCTCAACTAAAAAGTTCTCACTCTGATGTCACACTTCCCTCTCGCTGTAATGCTTACATCCGGTTGCCTGAAAGATGATGCTGTACCAGCTCTAGCTGCCTGAAATAGAAGGTCCCCCTCACCTCTGGGGGAGACAACAAGGAATGGAATTACCATAGAAAACACACTGTCTGCTATTTCTAGATACCAGTCTTGAAGCAGCACAATGCTTGTCTCTGAAAACACATTTTCGGCCCGGTTGACCATTTCTAGAATTCAGAGAACAATGTATTCTAAAAATACAACACTGTATTCATGTCCTCTTGTTCCCCCCTCCGAGGGCTGCCTTCCACTCTGGCTGGGATTGATAATTGAAAGACCCTTTTGGAAAACACATCTTTGGAAAAAGACATCTTTTGGAAAACATGGTCCCTATGCCCTAGGTCTGATCAATTTTGGTGCAAGATCCAAAGCTAAGCAGCTCTATGCATTTCTGGTTTTTAAGCCATGCTTCCTGCACCCCCTTTCCCCAGGGAATCTAATGCCAGAGACTGAGTGACACTGTTTCTCAGTCCTATTTGTTTCTTTACTGATGGTTCCCCCTTCATCCATCACCTGTAGGCATAAGGTACTGTGGTTCCAGGAATTTCTATAAATAATGGCTGTCCCATCTGATGAAACAGTTGCACTTGAAAATTTTTTTATGCATCTCACTATGAGAGCATGAAATGAGGAGGCTTTTTTCCCTTCATGCTTAAGAAACAAAGACATCTCATGTCTGTTGAATTTATGGTACAGTGAAAAATCATCAGAAAACCCAATTGCCACATGTATTTATTTGACAACTATGTGCATAGTGCCTATAGGCTTGAAAAAATTCAGGAAAATGAGATTAAAAGATAAGTTTATTCTGCTGCAAAAAAATTTTGGAATCCATGTATATATAGGGTATTCAAAAATTCATATTATGGAAAACTATGCATGGATTCCAAAATCTTTTGCACCAAAATAAATTTGTTTAATTCCATTTTACATGGACTTCCAAAAAATGTTTTGTGTATTTAATTTCATGTACTTCAAAGGCAGAGTGACAGAGATTGAGATAGACAGAAAGAGGGAGAGAGAGTGAGAACAAGAGAGAGAGCAAGAACGATAGAGAGAGAGAGGCTCTTCCATCCATTGTTCACTTTATAAATGCCTGCAATAGCTGGGGCCTGGTCCCCTGAAGCCAGGAGCCAGAAAATCCATCTGGGTCTCCCACATGGGTGGTTAACCCAAGCACTAGGATGCATTAGCAGGAAGCTGGATCAGAAGCAGAGTAGCCCAGACTAGAACCAGCATTTCAATACATGATGCAGGCATCTCAAGCAGCAGGTTAACCTGGTATGCCCACCCTTCTACAAACATTTGGAAATCTCCTCTTGTCTGCTGGCACTGTATGAATCAGCTGGAGGAAGACCAATTAAACACACACTCCAGGTCCTTGAGGAGACTCAAACTCTAGATTTTTATTATTTTTTTAAACAAAAAATTTATATTTATATTTGAAAGGAATAGCGAGACAGACAAAGAGATCTTTCATTTGCTAGTCCAATTCCCAGATGGCTGAAACAGTCAGGGCTGGGCCAGGAGTCTGGGACTCAGTCTGGATCTCCTGCTGCCTGCCAGGTGCACATTAGCAGGAGGCTGGAGTCAGAAGCAGAGGAGGACTTAAACCCAGCTTTCTGAAATGGAAGGTGAGTATCCCAAGTGGCATCTTAATTACTGCACCAAACATCTGCCCCTGTTATTATTATCGAGCATTGCATAGAGCTTATCTTATGCCACGTCTTGTGCTCATCACTTTACAGTATTAACTCTTATTATTTAATTATTTTAAAGATTTATTCATTTATTAGAAAGAGTTACAGAGAAAGACGGAGAGAGAGAGAAAGAGACAGAGATCTTCCATCTGCTGTTCACTCCCCTGATGGTTGCAATGGTCAGGACTGGGTCAGGCCAAAGCCAAGAGCCAGGAGACTCATCTGGGTAGTGAATCACATGGAATCATATGGATAATCATATGGATGACAGGGGTCCAAACACAGGCCATATTCCACTGCTTTTTCCAGGCCATTAGCAAGTACCTGGATTGGAAGTGGAGCAGGCAGTACATGAACTGTGCCTATATGGGATGCCAGTGTTGCAAGCAGTAGCTTTCCAAAGGGAGAGAGGGAGAAGGAAAGGGAGAGGGAGAGGGAGAGGGAGAGGGAGAATCCTCTGCTGGTTCACTCCACAAATGGCCACAAGGGCCAGAGCTAGGCCAGGCCAAAGCCAGGAGCTCCTGGGTCTCCCACATGGGTGCAGGGTTCAAGGACTTGGGGAATATTCCACTATTTTCCCTGATACATTAACAGGGAGCTAGATTGGAAGTGAAACAGTAGAGACTCTCTCTCTCTGCCTCTGCCTCTGTGTAACTCTGCCTTTCAAATAAATAAATCTTTAAAAAATCATTTAAAAAGTCATTTTCAGATTGTGTCTCTTTGTGTGTCTACATTAAGTCAGCATAAGTCTATCTGTCATTATCTATGAAACATTATTTACTAAGATTCTGGATTAATGTTAGGCAAACTGAGTCACATCATAACTAGGTTAGAAGACTTCAGAGGTGATAGGTAGAGTTTAGTCTTGAGGATCTTGACCCTCAGGCGACTCAGGTATCCCCCACGCATCTGACTCCTGCTGCTCCTGCTCCAATATTTCCCAGTGCTGGCCTTTGCAAGAGCTCCTCCTTGGGCAGGGAAAGTCCACCCCAGGGCAGAGATGTGGGTCACTCACTCCAGCAAAGATCACCAAAGATCACAAGGACCCCTCAGCTGTGCATCCTCCATGATGGGTCTCCTAGGGCCCTGCAACCCATCAGTGTTCTAATTCTTTATTCATAGTCCTTTGATCTCTTGATCTCTGGAGTGAGGTTATCTGAGCGGAAGCAGAATCAGACTATGTACTTTCTCCTGGTTCTCCCTCTTATAGTTTCTTTGGGTTGAATCAGAGTCAGGAAGCAGACTGAAGGGGACCTCTGGAGACCCCACACTGAGCACCAGTGACCTGATGCCCATCATACCAGCCCCCACACACACAGCTTGGCAGTCTGCCTGGCTCTCTGCTTGCTGACATCACCCCCGGAGTTTTACACACATGCAGTCACCAAGACCAACACTGCTGCTCAGATGGCTGTTTTCTCAAATTCATCAGCAGAAAGCTACAGAACTGGGTCCTTCCTCATTTCTTCTACAGACCCAAATCATGGCAAGCTCTCTTTTGTTTCAAGGGAGTAAAGGAAAAAATACTACAAAATTGTCTCAAGTTGGTTCCCATGCTGCAAAACATCTACTTGTATAATATGCCATTCTCAGTAGTCAGCTTGGAGGAAAAAATGTGAAATATGCAGTTAGTGATCAACCCAGCTCTGGGCTGGGTCGGCTGATTCATTAAACCCTGATCTGACACATCCACTTGATTCCCTCAATCATTCCCTTGACTCATGAGAATTATTACTTCCCAAAGAGGAGGCCTGGCTGCTCGTGGATGCACAGGGCATGCATCGCGTTCAAGCAGGGAGAGCAAGGCTAAGAATAGCCACAAAGTGCTTTCCTTGGGAATCTGTAGTTGAAGTCCAAGAGGTTTTACGTTCAAGGAAATAAGACCTCCCAGGAGTAGCAGAGTTTAAACATTGCATTTGATCCAAAGATGGAAATCTGTATACATGATGAAATGCCTTGCTTATATTTTTCCAATTCAGCACACTCTGCTAGTGCCTGTGTGAGGAGGTAACAGAGCAGATAACACAGTGTGCTCAAAGGAAAATTCAGGGCAGGGTAGCAAGTTAACCAGCTGTGGGCAAACATGTCTACTTATTGTGCATGATTGTCCATCCTTAAAAATATAACTCAGCTACCTTGCTAGTCAGTGTTTCTTGCTAAAACTGTATTATGGAGAGACCAGAGTTGTAGGGCAGCAGGTTAAGCCATGGGTGTAACTATGGCATCTCATATGAGTTCCAGGTCCAGTCCTGGAGATCTGGCTGCTCCACTTCCAATCTGGATTCCTGGGAAAGCAGGGGAAGATGGCCCAAGTACTTGGGCCCCTGCCACCCACGTGGGAGACCAGGATGGAGTTCCTAGGTCCTGGTTTTGGCCTGGCCCAGCCTCTGGTCATTGTGGCTATTTGGGGAGTGAATCAGCAAATGGAAGCTCGCTCGCTCGCTCTCTTGCTCTCTCTCTCTCTCTCTGCCTCTCCCCCTCTCACTATAACTCTGTTGTTCAAATAAATTTTTTTAAAATGTCTTTTTAAAAATCGTAGTATGGATTGTTTTGTTAGATGTTACGAAGGGAAATCAATGAATGTTTTAAAATGTGCAGACCTTCTTTCACACATCATGAACCCTCCTTATTCCCTTCTCTTTGTTTAGTGTTTGGGGAGCACATACTACCCAACGAGAGCAATGCAGCACTGCAGGCACTCACACAGGCTCTGACGCAAGCCTCCAGAGGGCCAGCTGTTTGTGGGTCGGGCAAGGTTTCCCGGTGGAAGTTATCGGGAAAGCTGAGCTCTGAAGGGCAGTCAGGCAAAGGTGAGGATAAAGGAGTGGAAAGAAGATCCCAGGCAGAGAGACCAGTAGGTGAAAAAGGGCTACGTTCAGGAGGTTCAGATTCATCTCACTGCTGAGGAGAGAGTAAGAGCGAGAGCAAGAGAGAGAGAGTGAGAGAGAGAAAGGGGACTGAAGAAGACTGTAGAGGCTGAGGCCTGGCCCTGTGTCGTTTGGAGATGCCTTCTGGGGGCTGGAAGACCTGAGACCACAGTCAGTCAATCCTGAGAGGCAGCATCATGGAAGAGCCTCAAGTCACATCAAACACACACCGCTCAGGGAAAAGAAAAGAAATAATCTCCATCTGGGAGGTCAATGGCAATATTTTCAGGAATTCTAGCCTCTGTCTTTAGGCCTTTTCCCCAGAGCCTTAACAATCAACATGGGACCAAAAGATTCTACTTTTGAAAAGAAAAAGATTTACTTATTTATTTGAAAGGCAGAGTTACACAGAGAGTGGGGGAGACAAAGAAGAAGAGATAGAGATCAATCTTCCATCTGCTGGTTCATTCCCCAAATGGCTGTGACAGCTGGGGCTGAGCCAGGTCAAAGCCAGGAGCCTAGAATTCCAACCATGTTTTGCAAGTGGGTGTCAGAGGCCCGAGTCCTTGATCTACTGCCTTCCCAGGAACATTATCAAGAATGTTAGATTCTGAGATTCAAATCGGAGCTCTGATATGGGATGCACAGCTTAACTCGCTGTGCCACAACACCAGCCCTACAACCAAAGCATTCTGCATGCTGAATCTAATACTGAAATTCCATTCTCTGCTTGTTGTTGGCATTGTTTTACTACCTATAATTGAATTTATGACTGATTCAGGAAGACACTTCTTTACAGACAAGGTTTTACAGACCAGGAGTCTCTTTGGGCTCCTCCTCCTCCTCACACCGTCACATCATGTCCCAACCCCCATCCTCTGCCCCCACCCCCAGGGAGCTACTTTCCCTGCTGCACAAGAACAGGTAGCTCTTTCTAGCCCTTTCAAAATCACTTCATTGCCTTGTATGATAGCCTCAGGAGATGCTATTGGCATGCAGATGGATTTATAATTTCTCCAAAGTAGACAAAATGCTATTCCATATTGAGACGTCTTTTATTTTTTCTCTAGATGTATATCTAATTTATATTTATTTGTTTGAGAGGCAGAGAGAGACAGAGAGCTTCCATTTGCTGGTTTATTCCCCAAATGCCTGCAATAGTTAGGGCTAGGTCAAGCCAAAGCCAGAAGCTGGGAACTCAGTCCAAGTCTCCCATGTGGGTGGCAGGGGCCCAACTACTTCAACCATCATTTCTTCCTCTCAGGGTCCATGTTAGCAGGAAGTTGGTGTCAGGAGCCAAAGTCAGAAATCAAACCCAAGGGACTGGCATTGTAGTGCAGTGGGTTAAGCCACCACCTGCAGCACTGGCATCCCACATGATCACAGGTTTGAGTCTCGGATGCTCCACTTCTGATCCAGCTTTCTCTTAATGGGCCTGGGAAATCAGCAGAAGATGTTCCAAGTGCTTGGGTCCCTGCCATCCATGTGGGAGACCCAGATAGAGTTTCAGGCCCCCGGCTTTGGCCTTTCCCAGACCTAACCCATGGCAGTTATTTGGGGAGTGAACCAGAGGATGGAAGCTCGCTCACTCTCTTTCTCTCTCCTTCTCTGTCTCTTCCTCTCTCTCTCTGTAGCACTGCTTTTCAAGTGAATAAAATTAAAATAAAAAAAAAAAAAAGAAAGAAAAGAAATCAGACCCAGTGCTGTGGCATAGTGGGTAAAGCTACCGCCTGTGGTGCCATCATCCTATATGGGCGTTGGTTCGATTCCTGCCTGCTCCACTTCCAATCCATGGCCTGGGAAAGCAGTAGAAGCTGGTCCAAGTCCTTGGGCCTCTGCACCCATGTGGGTGACCTGGAAGAAGCTCCAGGCTCTGGCTTCGGATTGGCATAGCTCCAATGGTTGTGGCCATTTGGGGAGTGAACCAGTGGATGGAAGACACCCCCCCCCCTTCTCTCTCTGCCTCTCTGTAACTCTGCCTTTAAAGCAAATAAATAAATCTTTATTTAAAACAAAGAGATCAAACGCAAGTACTCTTATGTGGGATGTGAGTGTCTTAAGTGCTTAGCTAAATGCTCACTTCTGCTTTTAAAATTTTACAGAATCCATCAAGACAGTAGCTGACACTTCTGCTAAAATTGGACTTAAAAAAAAAAATCTAGAGGCTTTCCAGAGCTCGGATAGAGGCTTTGCTCTGCCTCCGAAGATCCATCAACTTGCTCTTTATAATCTAAGTAAGGTCTAAGCAATGTTATTTTTGTTGAAAATTTATATTAGAGTTTTCCAAACTTCTGGCTCACACTCTCCCTTTAAAACCAACTATGGAGACCATAGCCTGTCGTATAAGCCTTTGAGTCTGCAGCCATGGGCCATATTTCTTCAGCCTCCAGATCACATGACTGATAAAAAGGCCAAGATAAGGCAATACTTTACATAAAAAATGTTTCCTAAAAGAAAAAATGCCCCACATATGTGAAAAATAAGAAGACTGGAACTGTTTCCATCAGAAGTCATTCTCTAAGTGGTTATTCATCCACACGAAAAATAAAAGGGAAATTTGATTTGAAAACAAACCATACCTACAGTGCCCAGTGTGGTTTGACTTCCTATCATCTATTCCCCTTCTTCCTTCTTACAAAACCCTTGTTTTCTGCAGGCACTCACTTCTCCTTCTTCCCCATCCATTGTCTGAATCCATCTGCATGCCAATAGCATCTCCTGAGGCTATTATTGGTCCAGGGGTGAGCGTGTAACCAAACACATACAATCTCACTGAAAGGAAGGACTTAGTTTTTAGAAAATGGAAATACCCCAGGAGTCACTGGCAGGCTTCTTGCAACCAGCAGGGATATCAGCTGAGAGGATGGAGATTTGAGGGATATAGAAGGGGCCTGAGCTTGGTGAGGGCTGAGTAGCTCAGTCAGCTCATCAGGAACCAACTACCTTTTACTCCACCTCTTCATCTGTGAGCTACAAAGCATCCTTGCTGTGTAAAGCTTGGTGAGGTAGGATTTCCACTGCTCTCTCCAAACAGATACAATGTGGGGGAGAGGGGGGAGGTGGAACCTGATGCCCTTCTCTAACCTGTAAATCAGAATGGAAAAAAAGTTTCTTCTTTCCTTCACTGTCATAGTTACATTACCCACTTGTATTTATTTGCATTTTTAAATATTTATTTATTTGGCAGAGAGAGAGAGAGAGACACTTCATCTGCTGATTTACTCCCCAGACATCTACAATGGCAAGAACAGGTATTTGGGGCTTGAAGCTGAGTCCTAGGAACTCACTCCAAGACTCTAAGAGTGGGTGGCAGGAACCCAGTCACTTGAGCCATCATTGCTGCCACCCATGGGCTCGTATAAGCAGGAGGCTGGAATTGGGAACAGAGCTCGGTATCAGACCCAGACGCTCCAACATGGGATGTGGGTGTCTTTACCACCGGGACAAATGCCAGCTCCTCTACATGCATTTTCATAGTTGGATACATTTGTGCAGGTTTTGAAGGAAAAACGAATGGTTTTAAGTATAGTGATTTAAATATACATACTATCAACTGGTTGCTATTATGGAAGGTTCAAGAAAAGCAAGCCCAGCTCCTGCCAGTTCCTGTCAAGTGCTAGGGATTGCAATTCAGAGTCCCTGTCTGTGCTTGTGGATTTGCCTTCTGGGGAGGAGAGAGTGTCAACAAGAATGACAGCCAACTGCCTGCAGGAAGCACTTGCCTAGAGGGTTGGTCAGAATGGGTTTTCAGGCAAGGCCTCTGCAAGGAGGTGATATTTAAAGCTGAGATCAGAGCAAGATGGAAGCCAGATCTACAGGAAGGAGAGAGACAAGAATGAACCCAGCATGTCTGAGTGGCATCAGAAAGTTCTGGTTTACTAAGAGTTGTCAGGTGAATAGGAACCGGAGATACACAGCTCCACAGGCCCAAGAAGTGGATCTACATCTATTCTCAGATTCTTTTTCTTTTTAAATTTGTTTATTTATTTGAAGGTCAGAGTTAAATGAGAGAGAGAGAGATTAAAGAATCTTCCAACCACTGGTTTACTCTCCAAATAGTCACAATGGCTAGGGCTAGGCCAGGCTGAAGCCAGGAGCCAGGAGCTGCTTCCTGGTCTCTCATGTGGGTACAGGGGCCCAAGCACTTGGGTCATCCTCCACTGCTTTCCCAGGCACATCAGCAGGGAGCTCGATCAGAAGTGGAGCAGCCAGGACTTGAACCAGCACCCATATGGCTTTACTGGCTATGCCACAATGCCAGCCCCTAAGTCAGGGATTCTTAATGGACTGTATACCACTGACTTCTTGGATCTGAAGCCTATGAAATAACATTATGAAATGTTATTTTATTTTACTTTATCTTATTTATTTGAAAGATACATAGACAGAGAGACAGAAACAAAGACACAGGGAACTCTGACCCAGTGGCTCACTCTCAAAATGCTTGTAACAGCCAGGGATGGACTAAGATGAAGCCAGAAGTCTGGAACTCAATCCAGGTCTCCCATGTGGGAGGCAGTGACTCAAGTATTTGAGCCATCAGCTGCTGCCTCCCAGAGTGTGCATTAGCAGGAAACCAGAATTAGAAGCTGAGTTGGGACTCAAACCTAGACACTCTACTATGGAATGCAGGAGTCCCATGTGGAGTCTTACATGCTTTGCCAAACATTTGCCCTATAAAATGTTTTCTTTTTTAAGATATATTGATTTAGTTGAACGTAAGAGTGACATAGAAAGAGGAAGAGGAAGAGGGAAGAGGGAAGAGGGAGATAGAGAAAGAGAGAGAGAGAGATGGATCTTCTATCTGCTGGTTTACTTCCCAAATGCTCACAACAACTGGGGCTGTGCCAGGCTGAAGCCAGGAACCAGGAACGTCATCCAGTTCTCCCACAGGGATGGCAGGACCCCAGGTACTTGGACCATCATCTGCTGCCTTCTCAGGCATGCTAGCAGGAAGCTGGATCAGAAGCAGAACGGCTGGACTTGAACCAGCACTCAGATATGGGATGCAGGAATTGCAAGCAGAAGCTTAACCAGCTGCAATATGACACCAGCCCCACAAAGTGTTTTCAAATACAAATAATAAATAAATAAAACGCAGTAGGGATATGGGGATAGGGAGGTGATGGAAACGGTTTTTCTTGGCAGGGAGTGGTTTTACCAAGGACACTGTTTAGAGTTACCAGCTTAGCATGACAAATAGAAAGCAGGGCTGACTTTAAGCTGACTTTATTATTATTCCTACATTCCTTAGCCAATGCATCACCTTTTTGTTTGGACCCAGGGCACACTACCCCCCACACCCTTCTCACCATCCTGCCTTGGTATACATCCAATTATGGGAGCCCATGAAAGAAATACAGTGGGGCCAGGACTGTGGCGTAGTGGGCTAAGCCTCCGCCTGTAGCACCAGAATGCCATATGGGCACTGGTTGGAGTCCCGGCTGTTCTTCTTCCAATCCAGCTCTCTGTTATGGCCTGGGAAAGCAGCAGAAGATGGCCCAAGTGCTTGGGCCCCTGCGCCCACATAGGAGACCTGGAGGAAGCTACTGGTTCCTGGCTTCGGATTGGCTCAGTTCCAACCATAGAGGCCATCTGGGGAGTGAACCAGCGGATGGAAGACCTCTCTCTCTGCCTTTCCCTCTCTCAGCCTGTAACTGCCTCTGAAATAATAAATAAAATATTTATAAAAAAAAGAAATATAGTTATCAAAATATTTTCTAAAAAATCCTATGGTTTCTTTGTTCATGCTTTAAATAACAGATCTGGTGGCAGGATTCATCATGATTAAGCGTGGACATGGAGACAGAAAACTGCAAGCAGTGCAATGTGAAAAGAAAGTACCAACGTGTTCTTTTGGTGACAAAGTCACAGGTCACTGCTGATAGTGCTGTGGTTTGTTGTCCTCAGTTAAAGAAACATTTCAAGTGGAAGGCAGTGAAAAGAAAGATGTAATGTTTTTCCAATCCAAATTTATAGATGTCACAGACGCCCCCTTGAAGTCACCGGAGTTTCTGACTAAGGGGTGTAATGTGACGTGATTTACGTTTTTAAAAGGTTCAGCCTGGGGCAAGTGTTTGACACCAGTTAAGGTGCCCAAGCCCCACACCCTGCCTGGGTTTGCTACCTGGCTCCAGCTCCTGACTCCAGCTTCCTGCTAGCGCAGCCACTGGGAGGCAGCAGTGACAGCTCAGGTGATTGAGTCCCTGCCACTCCTGTGTGAGACTGGGACTGAATTCTTGGCTCCTGGCTCCCTGACTTTGGCTTTCCCCACCACCCCTAGCCACTGTGGGCATCTGGAGATTCAACCTGCAACTAGGAGCTCTCTCCTTCTCTCTTTTTCTTACATGCTTTTATTTGCAATAAATGTACATGGGATAAAAAAATTTCAAAAGACAAGATGGCATACTATGAAAAGCCCACCCTTACATCCCTGTGTCTTCCCTTCAGAGATAATCTGAGTACTGGCCTGAGATAATTCACTCATATTCCTGCACATGTTTAAACAGAACACAACACCACAGCTCTGCATTGAAACCCAGATCCTCTTATCAGGTTGCTATATATACAACAGAGCAAGGTTTTTTTTTGTTTGTTTGTTTGTTTGTTTTTAAGTTAAAATAAATTGAATGTTAAAAAATAGATTCCAACTATAACTTTCAATTTGTAAATAACAATGGAGAAAGAAATAGTTCCTAAATAAAACAGACTATGATGATTAGATACATATGGGGAATGAGGGCAATAGTAAATCTATTGGGGGCTCTTGTGTGTGACATAGTCCCACAAAGTACCTTTGCATGATGATTAGTTTTGTGCAATGGCTCTTAGATTCTCAATGAGAACCTTGAATCATTCATCATTATGTCACATTACTTCCCCGAAAACAAACCACTTAATGATGCTCTTATTTTCTCTTTCTCTCTTATCTGCCCCTCGCCCTACCTCTCTGCCTCTCAAATAAAAATAAAATAAAATAAAGAAGATCAGCTTAATGGATGAGACAAACAATATGCCAAGGTCACTTCCTGTTTAGTAGCTGGCAGTGGCCAGCGGGAAGGAAGGGCAACACTCTGGCTTCTCTTGGATCATGGCTACTGAGCACCAGGGAACTGCTGCAGGGAAAGGAGGGGAGCCTCATGGCTCAGCGAGACCCCAGTGCTCATCCGCATGGCTGGGGGACAAGACACTGTGTCAGTCTGACTTCCTGTGAGACAGTTTCCCAGGCTCATCCTGCAGACAGAGGGGCTGCTGTGCAGATGCCCAGCCCCAGTGTGCCCTGAGGAAGTGGTGGTCAGTTCCGGGGTGGTCCCTTCCCTTCTGGCGCCTTCTGTCTGGGACCGTGGCCATCAGTTTCCGTGGGAGGCGGGGTGGCACACGGAGGAATATTAAGGGTCATGGCACCTTGTGGGAGCCAACTGATAGCCCCGGATGGTCTTGAAAGCTCAGGGCCGATAGGAATTGTAATCCAGCACTATCATTCAGGTTTGGGACAAAATGCACATGGGCTCCTCCAGGGTTCTGCATTTAAGACCTACCCTGCCCATGTGTGACCTGTGCAATGGAAACCTGTGGCCCAGTGGAGAAAGCAATGGGACTTGAGCCTGGAGGAGGGAATAGGGCAGTGGCTGAAGAGGGGGCTTCTGATGGCTGCTCAGGACTGGATTTTCCTCCTTGCTGCATTTGCAGAAAGGGGCTACAGATGATCCACTTCCCACAGGGAGCCTAAGTCTGTCACCAACTTACACAGGGCTCGGGGACGAGGCCTAAGTGTCACAGGGAACAAGAGAGCACTATGGCAGTGCCATGCTGAGGACTAGGATCAGCCACAACTCTCCTGCCCCAAATGACCCCTTTCTCTCCCCCCACAAACTCTGGAGACTGTGCCTTGGATCCTTCCTTCGTTCTCTCTTCCTAAGGTTACTGGAACCTTCTAACGGACATCTCCTGTCTAAGCAGCAGCCACTCTGCTTCCACTGATCTATACTCATACACAGCAGTTCTCAAGTGGATCCCCAAACCCACACACAGAAACAGAGTGCGCTAAAAAGGGGGTTTCCTCTGGCCAGTGTGATACAAAGGCAAACACTCATTCTCAATTTCAGCTTGAAGGGAGCAAAAGGAAGAGTAAGTCCCCGACCCTCCTCACCCACTGCACCACTTGGGAATTTAACAAGAACAGTACAGAGGCAAAGGCCAGGGGAAAAGGAGTGGAACCGGGCCACAGGGGCAGGCTGTCCTGTAAGTGTGAGACAGGCAACAAAGCTCCGAAAATGACCCAAGAACCAACCAGACCCTGTCCATGTGATAGCCCCCACCTCCACGCCCGCTGAACCACTATTGTTAAGCCAGCACCAACCCACCTTTAAAGAGGGTGGGGAAATACTCTCCCCAATCCCTGCTCTTGTCCCAACAGCTAAACCAAAAGCTTCTATCGGGACTATTTTCCAGGGTGACAGGGTACAGAGAAAGCAGTCTGTTTACAGTCTGAAGGTCAGCAGCACTGCTCCTGTTTTAATCTGTGACTCCTCTAGGAAGCCACGGCCGAATGCTGCCCCTTCCATCCTCCTGAAACCTCCTTGCCAAATGTGCCTCTGCTTACAGATTCACACAGGGCCAGGCTGTCGTGGGCAGCTGACCAAGGCTCACCAGCTAATTACATCTCTTGCCTTTCCCTCGACCTTGTTATGCGATCTTTTTAGGTCAATGAAATTGTCATTAACACTCCTCCACTGGACGACGTTTGCGGCTGCAGCTGAGCGTGGCTGTTGCAACCGCTGACAAAGGGTTCCCAAATCACAGGACACAAGAGTCAAAGGCAGGCCCTCAGCAAAACCTCCTCCAGCTTGTTCCACTTCATTTAGGCTGTGCACCCCATGTTGCTTTATTAGGATCCCAGCTTTCACTCCTACTCCTATGAAGGCTTGGGGTTTGTTTCCCTAATGAATCACAGCTGGTGTATTTTTAAAAGGCATCCTAATTAAAGAATGGTCTTCCATTTGCCATAATGTGAACCGGGAAAGTGCACAGTACTGTCCTCTAACTGCACGTGTCTCCTTTCAACAGTCAAGGGCTGGTGAGAAGGACCTGAAACAAGATTATTCTTTAGATACTGATCTCTTAGTTTTTAAAATATTTACTTGAAAAGCAGAGTGACAAAAAGGGAGGGAGCGACAGAGACACGAGAGAGAGAGAGAGAGATGGATCTTGCATTCACTGGTTCACTCCCCAAATGGCCACAATGTTCGGGGCTGGTCCAAGACAAAACCAGCAGCCCAGACCTTCATCCAGGACTGGCAGGAATCCTCACAGATGGCAGGGACTCAGGGACTTGGGCCATCATCTGCTGCCTTCCCAATCACATTAGCAGGGAGCTGGATTGAAAGTGGAGCAACTGGGACTCAAAGTGGCCCTCTGATATGGGATGACAGTATCACAAGTGGTGGCTTAACCCACCATGCCACAACGCCAGCCCCTGATCTTTCATAATTAACCAACATATTTACCTTTTGATCATCTACCTGAAAAACTCATGGCACCCAAAACACCAAAGACTTAGGGAATTTGGGCACTGGAAAGGATGGAATCCAACTATATTATTTTAAAGATGTCAAAACTGAGGCACAGAGAAGTGAAGCAATGGAGAGACCAGGTCAGACAGCATAAAGCTGAGAGAGTCAAAGTAAAACCCAATTCCCCTAATGCAGACTTAAAAGGGAAACATTTCCTAAGTGCCAACCTGAGACCAGCCAGGCAAGAGACCTGGTCCAGGACACCATCATCCCTCATAAGGAAAGTGAAGTGGCCATCTACTCACCAGACACATCTGCCTTGGGCTTTCTCTGATCCATTCTCCACTCAGCAGTCAAAGGAATTTTCTCTAAACAAAACCACACCTTTGCTTAATACCCTCCACCTACCTGCCATTGACTCCCTACTCTTTTTTTTTTTTTTAAAGAATTATTTATTTATTTGAGAGACAGAGTTACAGAGAGAGAGAGAGAGGAAGAGACAAAGAAAAAGAGCTTCCACCGGTTCACTCCCTAGATGGCCCCACCAGCTGAAGCTGGGCTGATCTGAAGCCAGGAGCCAAGAACTTCCTCCAGGTCTCCCACATGGGTGCAGGGGCCCAAGCACTTGGGCCATCTTCTGTTGCTTTCCCAGGCCATTAGCAGGGAGCTGGACCAGAAGAGGAGCAGCTGGGACACTAACCAGTGCCCGTACGGGATGCCAGCGCTGCAGGCAGAGGCTTAACCTACTAAGTCACAGTGCTGCCCCCACCATCCCCTACCCCACTGTTCTTGGGATCAAGACCTAAGTCTGAAAATGACCCAATGACTTCCAGGCTGCGCACAATCTGCTTCCTGCCAATCACTCCAGTCTCACCGTCCACCACCTACCAGTCACCCCTGCCTCCAAAGCAGCATACTCTACCCTGCCACAGGGCCCCTGCATACGCTATTCTCATGGTCATAACCCTCTTATGCTCCTCTTTAAACTGGTTAACACCATTCCTTCTTTCAGATCTCACTTCCAACGAGAAGGCTTCCTTCTTCTTTCATGACAAGAGTAAGGTCCTTGGTTGGGGCTGGTGTTGTGGTGTAGCAGGTTAAGACACAGCCTATGGATGTTTTCATTCCATACGGGCACCACTGTGAATCTCAGCTGCTCCCCTTCTGATCCAGCTCCCTGCTAATGAACTTGGGAAAAGTAGTGGAAGATGGTGCAAGTGCTGGGGCCCCTGTGTCCATGTAGGAGACCCAGATGAAGCTCCTGGCTCCTGGTTTTGGCTTGATCCAGCTCTGGCCATAGTAGCCACTTGGGGAGTGAACCAGCAGATGAAAGATCTCTCTCTCTCTGTGTCTCTACCTCTCTCTCTGTAACTCTGCCTTTCAAAGAAATAAATAAAATCTTAAAGAAAAAAAAAAGTCCTTGGTTAAATGCCCAGATGGCATCACGTTTCTCTCGCCTTCAAAGTTTTTTTCCACTGCTACATTCTTGTCACTGTTATCACTTGTTCACATTTGCCTCCACCATTGGTCTATAAGTCATAGAATCTTGTCTGGCTTGCTGATTGTGTTTCTTTTTTATTTTATTTTATTTTTTTTAATTTTTGATTGTGTTTCTTCTCTCACTACCAGCACAGTGTGCGTGTAGGGGATAATCAATATGAATATGAATGAAAGAATAAATGAGAAAAATAAAAGGATACACTAAGGCCTTCAAGAACCTTACAGGCTAGAAATGCCTTCCAAGGGATCTGTCACCAAGAAGGTAGTCAATCACCAATGCACTTGAGAAAGACCTTGCCAAGATAGGGCTCCACATCCCTCTTCCCACAGGGTGTCAAGGAGGACAATGACTTAGTCAAAAAGTGCATGAAAAACAGAAATTAAAAGCTATTTTGGTGCAAAAAAAATTGAAAACCATAGTTTTTTCAAAATACACATTTCTCATGAACATTTTAAAGACTCCTCATTTAAAAAACATTTCAAAGTCTGCTTAGTAAAATGTCACCCTTTTCAAAGCTAACAACAGATCTTCAGTCAAACATAAGCCCCCAACCTAAACAAAGCCTTCCCAGTCCCAGAGACAATCTGTTGCCGACAGTGGGTTCCTGGGAGCCCGCTGTTATCCGACACAGCAACAATCCTCCCTTCAATGCCACCCCTGCTTTCAGCCGCATTCTTCGTGAGCTGCCTGCAGCGGCTCATCTCTCATGTCAGACACTCCTCCACTTCCCTGTGGGATGCTGAGCACACAGCAGGCCCATTTCCGCAATCTGACAGTAATTTAAATTGAACTGAAGCCTCAATTTCTGGTTGTCCTACAGAGAGAGACCAGCTTCAGGGAACACAGCAAAATGTGAAACAGCAGCGTGGCTGAGAACCCGGTAAGGCAGTGCACAGACTGGCGAGGAAGGAGACTGAGCCTGCTACGGCGAAGCGGGCAGCAGAATATCAACAGACGGCAAATGTGCTTTAGGGACAAACGTCTGGTGGAACTATTAAGATTCTGCTTGAAATGTCCACATCCCATAAAGGAGTGTCTGGGTTCAAGTCACAGCTCCACTTCCCATTCCTGTTTCCTGCTAACGTGCCACCTGGGAGGCAGCGGGTGATAGCCCAGATACTTGGGTCTCTATCATACAAGTGGGAGATCCACACAGAAGTCCCGGCTCCTGGCTTCCACCTAGTTCAGCTCCAGCTGTTGTGAGCATTTGGGGAGTGAACCAATGGATGGAAGATCTGCCTATCTTTCCATATCTCCCTTTGTCTGTCTTTCAAAGAGATAAAAAATAAAATTCAAAAAATAATTTAAATGCACTTTATAAACATACTTACTATCAAAGCTACTTTTCTATGTAGAAACAAAACAGCAAGAAATAGCAAATGTGAAGGGAAACAGTTTGCAATTTTTAAAATCAGTCTTTTCGATTAAACATAATATTCAAATCTGTGAAAAACAATTATACCCAGTAGGGTGTTTTTTTTTTTTGTTTTTGTTTTTGTTTTTTTTTTTTTTTTTTTTGACAGGCAGAGTTAGACAGTGAGAGAAAGAGAGACAGAGAGAAAGGTCTTCCTTCCGTTGGTTCACCCCCAAATGGCCATCACAGCCAGCGCGCTGCACCAATCCGAAGCCAGGAGCCAGGTGCTTCCTCCTGGTCTCCCACGCAGGTGCAGGGCCCAAGGACTTGGGCCATCCTCCACTGCACTCCTGGGCCACAGCAGAGAGCTGGACTGGAAGAGGAGCTACTGGGACAGAATCCGGCACCCCAACTGGGACTAGAACCTGGGGTACCAGCGCTGCAGGTGGAGGATTAGCCTAGTGAGCCGCGGCACCGGCCTATGCCCAATGTTAATAAGATGTTTTCTCATTTCTCTCTCCTCTACAGAAGTCAGTCAATTCCTGTGAATTTAGACAGGTGACTGAGGTGCAATCTGTTAACTCGGAAGAATTTAAATGTCAAGATCCTTCCCCACAATGGGATGGGACAAGGAGGTGGGGCCTCTGAGAGGCCACGAAGGCAGCTCCTTCATGACCAGGATCAGTGTCCTTATAAAAGGACCCCAGAGAGCTCGCTCTCTCTTTCCTGGTGGGAGGAGACACTAAGCGTGCAGTGTGCAGTGGGAGGAGAGCCCTCACCAGAACTCCATCATGCTGGCTCCCTGATCTCTTGGGCTTCCGGCCTTCAGAACCAGGAAAAACACATGTCTATCGTTCCTAAGCCACTCCCGGTCTACAGCCTTTTCCTATTACAGCCTGAACCAAGACAGACATCTTGTGCAAGGTGCAACTGCTTTTGCTAGTTGTAGTGACTTACCCACCTTATGAGACAAAAAAAAAAAAAAAAAAATCTACCTTTCATGCAAGATATTAGCATGATTAAGCTGAACAGATCATTGGGTCCATTTTGGAGTCTTTTTAGCACCCCAACTTGGTTTTCCAAGGTCTTTGAAGCTTATAGTCAATAACAAATATTTAAACCAAAACCTCACTTGCCTTGGGATTGCAGGTAGGGCAAACTATATACAAAGGTATAAGGAAAGCCAGGTGAGGGGGGCAGAAGAACAGGTGTCCTCCAGCACTCTCCCAGGGGAGAGTGAAACAGCTAAGATGCCTCCATGGCCCTGGAGGGAGGACAGGGCAGAATCCCACCATGGTCCAGCCAGGATATGATGGCATATTGGGAGTTCCCAAAACACTGAGTCTCTCTAAACCGGCTCTTTCATTTTCTCCACAGTATGGAGAATGAGCAGGAAGCCAGGCAGACTCGCACACCAACGAGTTGGCCAGAACACATGCCAGGGTGCGATGGAAACCATGGACTGCAACTCCACCATTTTTATGTCACCTGGAATACACTCCTTCCAGGAACTTGCATAAACCAGCACCGAATGTGGGCTGACAACTCCTTAAAAAATTCTCTCCTCCTTTTGCCACAGGGCTGTGCACTTAACAAACACCAGCAACATGGAAAGGAGCCGAGACTGCACAAGAATGCTAGTGATTTTAACAGAACATTGCCATTCCCTTCACCATCCTGAGAGATTCCCATAGCATCAACCAAGTTAGACATCAAAGTATTGGTGTTAATAATTCCACATGTGGGGGCCAGCGCTGTGGCACAGTAGGTTAATGCCCTGGCCTGCAGTGCTGGCATTCCATACTGGCACCAGTTCAAGACCTGGCTTGTTCCACTTCCGATCCAGCTCTCTGCCTGCCTGGGAAAGCAGTATAAGACGGCCCAGGCCCTTGGGACCCTGCAACCACATGGGAAGAGGCTCCTGGCTTTGGATCAGCACAGCTTCGGTCGTTGTGGCCAATTGGGGAGTGAACCATTGGATGGAGGACCTCTCTCCCTCTCTCTCTCTCTCTCTCTCTCTCTCTCTCTCTCTCTGCCTCTCCTCTCTCTGTGTAACTCTGATTTTCAAATAAATAAATAAATCCTTAAAAAAATAATTCCACATGTGTATCAGACCATGTATATATTTCACATGCCTTATATCCTGTCATCTTTTGGCTGATTTTTTTAAGCTCATAAATGCCTGGTATTCCTAAACAGCACTCTGGCCTCAGAATCAGCCCTTAAGGCATTTGGATCTGGCTGAAAAGCCCATGAGAGTATTTCAGGCATGGAAAGCCAAGACACTTTGGGAAAAAAAATGACCTAAATGAAAGATCTCCACAAGTGAGAGCCCAGTGGAAAGTACAGGTCATCAAAGAAGGAGGTACCTTTCTCTGAAGGGAGGAGAGAACCTCCACTTTGACTATGACCTTGTTTAAACAAGATAAGAGTTGGAGAACTCAAGGGGCTTCCATAGCCTTGGAAACTCATGACTGGAGCATAGGGAGATTACTGATGCCATAAACAGGAGTGTCAATTGGTAAAGTCAACAACAGGAGTCACTGTGCACTTACTCCTCATGTAGGATCTCTGTCCTTAATGTGCTGTACATTGAGACTTAATGCTATAACTAGTACTCAAACAGTATATTTCACTTTGTGTTTCTATGGGGGTGCAAACTGTTGAAATCTTTACTTAATATATACTAAACTGATCTTCTGTATATAAAGAGAATTGAAAATGAATCTTGATGTGAATGGAAGGGGAGAGGGAGTGGGAAAGGAGAGGGTTGCAGGTGGGAGGGAAGTTATGGGAGGGGGGGAAGCCATTGTAATCCGTAAGCTGTACTTTGGAAATTTATATTCATTAAATAAAAGTTAACAAAAATGCCTGGTATTATTTTTTAGTTATCTTGCTTTGTCTACTACAAAGTCTCTTCAGGTAAATCCTGGTCTTCCTCTTGTCTTATTGGTTTTCTTCAAAAATGAGGGAATGCAAATGTGTGTATAGAAGAAGAAAGACATTCTTCAAATGTTGACAAGACAGATCCATTTCACGCTTACAGCAACTGTCTTAAGGCAGCATGGAACATTTGAACAATGCAGTGACCATTCACCATTCATCTAGGGAACGTGTGCTGCATGCAGATGCTGAGAAAATGGCAATAAAAGAAAGAAAAATTATATTTTAGTATGGAATGATAGGGACTAATGAACAAAAGATACATAGTGAGGTAGGTGATGATAAAGCCTATGAAGAAGAAGTAAAGTCAAATAAAGAGAGAAAGTAGAGCTAGGTTAGGGTGGGAGGGGGAATGGAAACACTATTTTTACGTAGGAGGCAGAAAAGGCCTAAGAAGACCTGAGTAGAAACCTGGAGGAAAATGAGGAAGGGAAATGACATGGGTGAAAGCCTAGCACAGAGCCCTGGGGTGAGGTACAGGAAAACAAGGGGAGGCCAGCACGATCGGAACATGGGGGAAAGGTGTGGGGGAGGAATAGGTGATGAGGTCCCCAAGCAGCAACATGACCTGATCATGCTGGCCCTTGAGGGCCACATGTCACATGTCAATGCCATTAAGTGAAAAGGGAACCACGGGAGAGACAGCAAGTGATTTAGGCTTTAAAGGAACCCGATAGCAGCTGTGGTGGGAGGGAAGAAGCAGAGAGTCCATGTGGGAGACCCCTGGAGCCATTCAGCCACTATTGAGATGATGGGGACCTGATCATGTGGTCCAGCTGGAGGAATGCTGGCTCACTGACAGCAGAATCACCAACTGGCCAGCCGTTGGTCATGACTTTTGGGATCTGAATGAAACTTTGCAGAATGAGAACAACAGGGGCCAGCATTGTGGCACAGTGAGTTAAGTTGCAGCCTTTGACACTGGCATTATACAGGCTCCCGACATCAGCCCAGCCCAGCCCTGGCCATTGCGGTCATTTGGGAAATTTACCAGATCTAAGATCTCTTTTTCTTTCTGTTATTCTGCTTTTAAAGAAGTAAAATAAATCTTATTTTAAAAAATAAAAACAACAGCTACAGCTAAGGCATTTTATGAAATAATCCTATTAATTATTATTTACAGAAGCATATCATATATTTTGAAGATTTACTTATTTATTTGAAAGGCAGAGTGACAGAGAGGCAGAGGCAGAGAGAAAGAGAGAGAGGTGTTCCCTCTGCTGGTTCACTCCCCAGATGGCTACAACAGCCGGAGCAGGGCTGATCTGAAGACAGGAGCCAAGAGCTTCTTTCAGGTCTCCTACATGGGTGCAGGGCCCCAAGGACTTGGGCCATCCTCTGCTGCTTTCCCAGGCCATAGCAGAGAACTGGATTGGAAGTGGAGCAGCTGAGATTCAAACTGATGCCCATATGAGATGCTGGCACTGCAGGCGGCAGCTTTACCCGCTATGCCATAGTACAGACCCCTTTTTAAAATTAATTAATTAATTTTATAGGCTCATCTAATTTTATAACAACTTGTTCCCTCTAAAAAGGGATAACACCCCACACCCCTCCCCACATGAACAAAACAAAAGATCCCTTCCAGGCCTAAATATTTTAGAGCGCTTGCTCTTCAGCCCAGTGCTTCCAGAGCCTAATGCCTCAACCAACAGGAGAGCACAGGTGCAAAGCTACCGCGGAGTATAAAGGCACAAAGTCCGTTTTTGCATAAAATAAATGAAGTACTCCCCCAATGGAACCTCTGGGCTGACCAGCTAGAGGCAAGTACGTAAATCTCTAGGGTATGGTAAGGGGAAAAATGTTAGCAGCAGACTCCAGAGTACAATTTCTTTCTTTGAAAACCACCCAACAATCTAGAATCTTTTGTAAGGGAGACAAAAGAAGAGAAACACAGTCATGGCTATAGGAAAAACGTGCCTTCACTGGGCTTGCTGAACTCATCACAGGATCAAGTGCACAGTCCTCACTGGCCTGCAGTCAAATGAGTTTAGCTTCGCTTTAGCTTTCTTCTCTGGAAGTAGACTGAATTAATATATGCACTAAATGAATGAATAAAATGGAAGAAATGTATTGATTATTTCTATAGTAACAAAGATTTTCTTGAAAGGAATTTATCCAGGTCCATCAGGCAAAACCATCACTTTTGGTTGCCAATAAAAATGAAGAAAACTCTTCAGATTTACTCATTTTACCATTCCATAGCACCTTCCAGTTTCAGAAACTGATATTTTGAGGTATGTGGGGAGTAAAAGAGCAACCTCATTTACAGCCCTATAGGGGAAAAAGTCAGTCTGCTTGGGAGAGAACACATTCAGTTCCCCTGCAGGATTTCTAAGGAATTAACCCAAAGCTGGCACTTGCACCACTGGAGATAAGGCCACGATTCAGCTTCAAGCGATCTGTCTTCAGTACTGGTCACGGGCCTGGCTTACAGAGCACTCACCTGCTCACACTGCGTCAGCTCTCTGCGTGAAATGATCTGCAGAGAGCAAGGTAAGTTACACAGCAGCTACAGAAAGACTCACCAACCACAAGAACTGCCTTGGACGCTTGTTCCTGTAATAGTTCTTACAGCCATCCAAGAATTTAACTGTCAATCAAGTATACACACAGCAATATCAAAGGGAAGAGCCAACACACAATCATTTCTTCACAGAGAACAGGTCTCTGACACAAAGGAGAAAAGTAAGGAAAAAAAAAAAACGCATCTCTGCTGTTGAAGCCAGGAATGTATAACTAGACCCAAGACAAGGCTTGACGCAATTACTTAATGTTGTTTGGGGAAACTCAATTAGTTGGAAATGCAGTCTGGAGAATTTCCTAACTAAGATTATTTACATAATTTTCAGGTGGACAGAGACAGGCTATAGTCCAGAAAAAATAATGAAGAGTATTATTTTCTAGGGACACTTTACTGGAAATGACCTCCATCAAAATCGCATTAATGATAAATGGATCACTTTGAAAGGCAGTTGAGATATAAACTTTGTCAGTGTAACAAACTTAGTCTTTTTTTTTAAAAAAAAATTTATAGCCACCATGCATTTACTGGGAAGGTTTCCCACTCCTCTTGCTTCAGGGTGCTTTCCACATTGCTTCCTTCTGAAGGAGCATCCTTCTCTAACCCTTGCTTTTCCTCCTGGGCACTGGCTGAAGACAGTGCAGCAGCCAACACACAAAGCCACCGTGTGCGCATGGCTAAAAACCAGAGTGACTTCATAGCAACCTGGGTACTCCACACCCATGGAGTAGGAACTGGGGCTCCGCACCAGGTGCTTCTTGTGTTTCCTCTTCTCCTCTTCTGGAGAGGGATGAAGGAGAGCCTCTGCAAGAGGCATAGTCACGTGGGGAGGCCATCACATCCAGAAAGACAAACTTGGTCTTGCATACATTTGGTATGCAGACAGTAAAAAGATCAGCGCTCACCAGGGGTTCCTGGGGAAGGAGGGTGAAGGGTGAAGAGGAGGTACAAGGAAAATGTTTCGGGCAGCAAAGGTGTCCTGTCTGATACTGCAGTGTGCCTGCAAGCCCTTACACAGTTCTTCCAAACCCATGACTGGAAAACACCAAGAGAGAATCCCAATGTAAACCATGGACACTGTGGTTCATCAGTGATAACAAATATGCCACTGACGGTGGATGTTGATAACAGGGAAGGCTCTGTGTATACGGAGGCAGGAAAGGGGAACTCTGTACTCTGTGCTCAGTGCACTGTGACTCTAAAACTACTCTAAAAGGTAAAGAATAGTTAAGGGAGGCCGGCGCCGCGGCTCACTAGGCTAATCCTCCGCCTAGCGGCGCCGGCACACCGGGTTCTAGTCCCGGTCGGGGCGCCGGATTCTGTCCCGGTTGCCCCTCTTCCAGGCCAGCCCTCTGCTGTGGCCAGGGAGTGCAGTGGAGGATGGCCCAGGTGCTTGGGCCCTGCACCCCATGGGAGACCAGGAAAAGCACCTGGCTCCTGGCTCCTGCCATCGGATCGGTGCGGTGCGCCGGCCGCAGCGCGCCGGCCGCGGCGGCCATTGGAGGGTGAACCAACGGCAAAGGAAGACCTTTCTCTCTGTCTCTCTCTATCACTGTCCACTCTGCCTGTCAAAAATAAAAAAAAAAAAAAAAGAATAGTTAAGGGGGAGGGAGGAAGCAAACTGCAAATACAATTTTAAAAATGACAACACATGTATACTTAGGAAGACATCATAGATTTCTTTCTTTCCATAAGCATACTGTACACTGATATTCCGCAATAAATTTATAAACCTCTATATAATTTGGATATCCATGCTGTTTCTGGCTTTTGACTACAATAAATAATGCTATTAATAAAAATCCTCATATATGTCTTCATTTGTTATGTTTTTTTTTTTTTTATTTCTTGATCAGTTCTATTTGTGGAACATATGTGCCAACAATAAGGACTATTAAACTTAACAATGAAATTAATTGTGTAATGAAACCAATAGCAGCAATAATTGGTGGTTTCATGTAAAGTTACTAAATCCTTTACATGAATTAAATTCACTGATATGATTTCAATTGTACAAGTGAGGGAATTGAGATACACAGTGCTGTTCCGTCTCTAAGCTGACAAACTTTGTAATTCTGGTGACAAATTCAAACAAATCGCTGTTTGAGGGTACAAGAATCCTCACTATACATTTTTTTTTATAAAGGAAATGGTTTATTGGTGGGGAAACCCGACAGACCAGAGGGTAGGTGCAAAGAAGAAAAAGAGGGAGAAGGAGAGCCTCAGAGAGAAAGATCAAGAGAGAGAGAAAGAGAGCTAGAGACAGAGAGAGAGAGAGCCATGTCTTCAGGAACAGGTCCTCTTAAAACTTTGCCAGGCTTTTTTTTCTCACTATACATTTTTAAAAAGGATTTATTTATTCTGAAAGGCAGAGTTATAGGGAGAGACAGAGAGAGAAAGATCTTCCATCCACTGGCTTACTCCTTAAATGACCACAACAGCCAGGATCCCAGAACTCCCTCCAGGTCTCCCACATGGGTGGCAGGGCCCAAGCACTTGGGCCATCTTCCTCTGTTTTCCCAGGCACATTAGTAGGAAGCTGGATTGGAAGCAGTACAGCCATGACTAGAATTGGTGCTCTGATATAGGATGCTAGCGTCCCTGGTGGTGGCTTAACCTGCTGTGCCACAATACTGGCCCCCATAAATTATTTTCAAGACTAGTTCCAGTGCAATGAATCAAAGCCTAAGAAGCTGATCAGAAACCATTGTCTTAACTAATTTGCTCTATTTGAATTTTTAAAAACCATTAAGGCTACCTGTTTGGTTATACCTGCTAATTTATTCTTCAGCGATCCTGTTGAAATACAATCTAGCCATGATCCAGCACGGATTCTCTGCAAAAGTGCATTCCTATTAAACCAGTCAAACAGAGGCTGGCATTGTGGCACAGAATGTTAAGCCTCTGCTTTCAATGTCGGCATCCTATATTGGAGTGCAGGTTCGAGTCCCAGCTGCTCCACTTCTGATCCAGCTCCCTGCTAATGCACCTGAGAAAGCCGTGGAGGATGGCCCAAGTGCTTGGGCCCCTGTCACTGACATGGGAAATGTGGATGGAGTTCCAGGTTCCTGCCTCAGTCTGGCACAGCCCTGGCCACTGATGGAGTGAATCAGCAGATGTAGGCTCTCTCCCCACATAGCTCTGCCTTCCAAATAAATAAAACATTAGTCAAATAGAAATGGAAGTTTATGCACATAGATGTGCCTGTGTGTGAGGCAGTGAGTTAAAGAAGTAGAAAGGGACAATAAATGAAGACTTCATTCCTATCAGGTATTCATAAAATGAATGACCTAATTATATATCTTATACTGTGAAATACAAAAGTTCATAAACTCTGGATGGATACACTGACACAACCTGACAATTGTCAAACAAAAATTAAAACTTAACAGATAAGAAATCAACAGATTAGATCTCTCTTAAACAACAAAAAGAACCCTCACTAAACGTGGGCGGGGAGCAGTAAAAGAGACACATGGACTTGCCTTGTTCTGTCATCAACTTGTGAGAGTGTGTGCTGAAGCTCTTTGGAATGCCTCTCTCTATCAGAGCCAAGCAGGAGGTCCAGGAGAAAAGCTCCCAGCAAATGAGACAATCCACTATTGGATCCAGGAGGCCAAGAGTGGGCTGCAAAGCGTTTATGTCATCAGCGAGTAAAGCTCGCATCAGACAGGGCACAGTGGGAACAAACTTCGAGCCGAACACAGGTCCCTGTTACCTTGAGCCCAAACAACCATAGGCAGCAAGAACAGATCAGAAATCAAAACAAAACAAAACGCCAACAGATTAAGCACCTGCTAATACAGACCTACTCTCTACGACAGGCCTGGTCTCCTCAACGGTAAGAACATTATTAAAATCTGCCATGTAATTCATCAAGGTCTCAGGCTGCCAAGGGAAAAGCCAATCTCCCCAGTTAGCAAGTTCCAGAACAAACCAAGGGAAACAAAACTGCAGCAATGATATCTCTTTAAATTATTTGGTCTCTGCTGAGCAGAGATAAAACAGCCCTACTGCTGCCTAGTTTAATGAACCCTCACAAAGAACCATCATCAAGATAAGAAAAGCCGAGCTGGCATCGCGGCTCACTAGGCTAATCCTCCACCTTGCGGCGCCGGCACACCGGGTTCTAGTCCCGGTCGGGGCGCTGGATTCTGTCCCGGTTGCCCCTCTTCCAGGCCAGCTCTCTGCTATGGCCCAGGAGTGCAGTGGAGGATGGCCCAAGTGCTTGGGCCCTGCACCCCATGGGAGACCAGGAGAAGCACCTGGCTCCTGGCTCCTGCCATCGGATCAGCGCGGTGCGCCGGCTGCAGCGCGCCGGCCGCGGCGGCCATTGGAGGGTGAACCAACGGCAAAGGAAGACCTTTCTCTCTGTCTGTCTCTCTCACTGTCCACTCTGCCTGGCAAAAAAAAAAAAAAAATATATATATATATATATATATAAGAAAAGCCTTTTTCCCCCTTCTATATCAACTCCCGTGCTTTGGACAGCCATAGAACAGGGCGAGTAGTGGGAACACACAGGGAATAGACATTTGGGGGTGTCATAAATCTCAAAGCTCAGTGCCACATATATCACTCAGCAGTGGAAGTCATGGAGCCAAAAGCTTTCTGTTCCTTTCTTTCCAGATATGCAGGAATGGCATGTGCAAAGGACCAGTGGCAAGATGGAGCAGGGTCGGTTAAGAAACTAGCATGGCTGGCTTGCATGCGTAAGAGGTGGAAGGCAGTGTTTTTCCTGTGTATAAACTTGCTACTATGTGCATCCCTAAATAGCATACATAGTTTTAACCAGCTTTTAATGCTTACATAAGCACAGCTTTTAAAAGAATGAAATCATAACACTAATTTATTCCTGTACTCGACACTTACCTGTATTAAGATCCTGTCACCGTATCCTGAAATGTTCTTCGAGAACATTATTTTTAATAATTACAGAAAATTTTGTCAAATGCGTCCACCAAATTTATTCAATCTGTTTTTTATAGGTTCAAGTGCAGTATCATTTTTCAACATGATAAAGGCTGAGGTATTAAATTCCTGGCTGGAAGGGTGTGACTAGTTTTTAAATCTGTGACTACATTGATACCCCCTGTGGCAGTGACAAGTGGAAAACAGAGCTGAGTGTCTTGCGTGGAGACTCACAGGGCTGGGGGTTACTTGCGGGTTTTTCTGACCCCTCTCTCTCCCCACTGTGGCACCTGTCCCTGTTAGATCTGTGGCTGGACGTGGGACCTTTGCTTGCCTCCTCACTTTAGGAGAGCCCCTGCCAGGGCCCAGCTCCTTTCTTGACGGATGGCGATGGAGTTGGGGGCAGGGGCTTCCCCAGGGGAGCTGTTGGCTGCGCCATTGACTGCCTTGGAAAAATCTGCCTGCATCTCGCCCTTTCCTTCTCTTCCAAGCAGAGCGGTTGAGGAAGAGCTGAGCTGTGCTCTGTGGGCAGTGGAGTGGCCTTTTGTTTTTGTTTTTTTTGTTTGTTTGTTTGTTTGTTTGGCACTTCAGTAGTGGGATACAGTGGGCTCTCAGGCTAAGATCCATGAAATCACTGGGTTATGGCTCTGCCAAGGTAACCACAAGTAAGGCCTCAAAATGCAATCAATCTGTGGCAAGCTGATTTTTTAAGTGGATAATTTTGTGAGGTCCATGAATGATGTTAGAAATGTCCAAATGGCTCTTGGCAGAAAACAGTCCCCAAGCCCTGGATCCTTGCTGCTGCCTAGCGGCTGTTCAGCATCTGTGGCCTCCTTGCCCACACCTAGTCTGTCCTCCATGCTCCGACAGGTCACCCTTCTAAAGCCACAAACAACAAACACAGCCGAGCAAAGGGATCGCAAGGGCCTTTGAACTGACGGCTAAGTCAGGCTGCACTGGTTGCTACCTGAGTTTTATAGTATTTTTATACCACATGGTATGTCTGAAATATTTCACAGTGAAAAAACTGTTCAAGGTGTATGAACAAAGGCAGAAAGGAAGCACATCACATGTAGCAGCTCCTCTGAGGCTGCCTGGTTGAACTCTGTTCATGTTTTCCAAGTTTTCTACAAAGCACACACATTCCTTCTCAGCGTTTGCAGGGTTTCATCTCACTGGAAATGATTTTTATGTCCACGCCACAGCTTGTTTGCTTTCTGGTGTTTAGTGCTGAACTGTGTCTGGGGCCTGGGGGCACACGTGGCTCTTCCGCTTAGGATCTTTCCTGGGGCATTGCAAACCCTGTAGCTCCTTGCTCAGACATCTCTCAACCACCCATCCGAATTCACACCAGGAAAGTGCCGCGGGGGAACCGTCTCCCTGGAGCCCTCCCACTCACATCCTCTGACGTGAGAGATTGGTAGGCAGCTGCTCAGCGCCTTCTCCACTCTGCACATGGCTTTCAAAAGCCTGTTGCCTCCCCCCCACCCCACCCCGCCCCTGGAATAGTCTATCTTCTATTCCTCGCGGAAGCTGGGGTCTAAGCAAAGCAGATTTGCGTAAACTGGTAGAGAAAAATAGCAACCAATTCTATCATCAGCTGGCGTGGACACACCACCCACATTCATTTTCCTCCAAGTGCTGGGGGTGGAAGCTGGGAGGACAAGTCCTTGGGGAGAGTTTCCCACACTGAGCTTTAAGATGCTTCCAGTTTCCTCTGCAAGAGGAACTCTGAACCTGGGGTCTGGGTCCCTGCATGCACCAGAGTCATACATCAACCTCGTCCATGTAAATTTTTTACAGCCCAGAGCTACCACTGGACTCCAAAAAGGATCACTGAGACCTCTCCATCCAAGTGATTGAGAATCTCTGTGAACATAAGCTTTTCTCTTAAATGCCTATTGGTCTTTTAAGTCCAGGTTCAATAGGAAATTGTAGAGAGGAATTTAGTAGGAAATATCCTTCTTGGCACCTATCAGAATCATCATCCAAGACTTTAAAATAAAGGGAGATGGCAGAGGCCATGTTTGGTGTTATCCTCACTCAGATGCCCTGAAGGGTTTGACCTGGCTGTACCTTCTTTTCAATGGGAGGTTTCATCCATGTCAACATTTCTCAACTTTTTATCACAGATATAATTATTTAAAAGGGACATCCATTAGGGGAACTCACTATTTAAAAAAAAAATCAACAGTAAGTATTTATAAAGAGCCTACAGTGTGGCAGCACTGGGCAGAGACCCAATAGAAGTTTGACCATGATCCCTAAATAAGACCTCTGTCCCTGCATCTAGCAGCTCCTTGTTCAAAGTGCACAACTAGTGAATACCTTTCCATTTGTTACATGGAATCAAAATTGAAAGTCACCAATATTACTTTCCTAAACCCCCACATCTTTCAGTATGAGTCACCCACTAGAACCCACCTTTTTTAAAGATACTTTCCACTACCTGTAGAACAGACTCAAAACAACTCTTCAGTAATACCGTTGGAAATTAAGGGACTGACTGTCCTGGATATCTTGATTTAAAAACATTTAATAACTCACAAAGGCCATCAGTTTATTAAAGCAATTAATTTTTTGACTTAGATATGTAGACATCATTACATTTATGACAAAAAAATTCTCAACTGTGGCTCCCCCCTCACCCCCATTTAATTCAATCCAGCTCATCTCTACTGGGTGCAGGGTACTGAAAGTTACTGAGTACATTCCCTCTGTGGTCTCACCTGGATCCGTCATGCCTCCTGTCAATTCCATGTGATTTTGATGGTCAGTGGAATCAGCAAAATAGCAGTTTGCAGGCCCCTCTAATCATTTATAGCATTCTTCTGACTTCTACAATGATTATAACACTATGGGACAACATCTGGAGGAAACCCAGTACAAGTACTTGAAAATTTGTTTGCCTAGGTTCGGGGGAAATACAGGTAAATCAGAAATGTGTTTGGCCATAGCGTAGCTCTGTTGTGGTAATAGGACAGACTTCTCTTCTATAAAGGTGTCTTTACTGGGGCAAAGCATGATCCCATGATACGAACAAGAAAGGGAGAAACAGCACCTGCAGCAGCACAGGGAAGAAGGTCATTATTCATTATCTGAGATGTATGTGACCAGGAAGAGAAGACAAGGCCACTGACACTGATCAAGAATCAAACCAGAGCTCATCGTGACAAATAATTCTTTCACCCAAGAGAGTTAAGTGGTTCTTTGATAAAAGGCATCTGGAGGCATGCTTTCATGAAAAATATATATCCACATACAGTTGAGGAAAGATATGCAATGAGTTCGACCTTGGTAATGTCCTGGACTAAAATCTTGCCCAAATCACTACCCCCTCTCTGGGTTTCTACTTCTTCACCTGTAATGTGCTCAGATTGGAATACCTGGTTGCTGAGGACTCTCTTAAATCCTGAAAAATTTCCACAAAATTAAACATATCTAAGCCCCCAAATCATATAGTTGATAAGGGAAGCCGTGGAACTTCTCTTATCAGTAATAATGCATTCAATGAATTAAGTAAAATCTAGGAGAACATCATCATTTTGTACAGTTACCATGGCAACCTGGTAGAGTGGCCCAACTCCATCAATCTGATATTCAAAAATTGGAACAGATAAACACCATATGGTGAAAGAAACATGCTCAAATACATTAATTAGATGTCAGCTCAGGCTCACTCCATCATGGCTGCTTGCATCACAGGAAACCTTACAATAATCAGAAATGGCTATAAGAACATTGCTTATAATAGTAAGTAAGTGCCATCTGATGAAGACCCACTAATAATGAGTTTTAAATTTTCACAAAGGTTTTAGAAGACCTGTTCCCCAATCCTTTTTTGTTTTCTTTTGTTTTAAACAAATGAAAGAACTAAGGTCTGGAGAGGGGAGGAGATGTGCCGAAGGTTACACGGTTAGTCACAGGCAAAGCCAGAGCCACGCACTACTCAGTTCTCAATTCTTCTCATGGAAAGCATCTCGTCTCCTGACAGTAGCTTTCATGGTGTCTGAAGAGGAGAGAGGTCATGACCTAATGGTAGATGCAGCTCAGGGCTTGATGGTTAACCCAAAGAGTATAAAATATAGACACCTCCATCTCCTGGCTAATGAGGGCATCAGTGGCGGGGGTAGGCTCCCCACGGCATCAGCAGGGAGACAAAAAAAGCCATGCAAAGAAAGCTACTGAAATTAAGCACCCAAGCACATGGCTTAGAAAATCCAAGGGCGCTTTTCACCTTCAGCATTGCCACCCTTCAGCCACCAAGTCACTTAACCTTCTTGTGCAAACTTTAAAGAAAAACACAGGGAAGCCTGCATTTAGCAGGTGCCTCATAGGTGTCAGGCAGTGTGTTTGGTATTCTCCCTTTTCTTGTTTTATCTGACTCTCATAAAAACGTTGTGAGGTTAAGTCTTCCTACCTGTATTTTCCGGATGAGGATATAGAGGTGAGGAAAGGCAGCACACAAATGGTAAGGACAGACTTGATTCAAACCAAGATCTGCTGAGTCCAAAGCCACTCCCTCCCCCATGCAGCTACTCAGTAATTTCCCCTCAAGGGAACAAACATTCGGTCCATCTCCTGTAACCAACCTCTAAAACAGCACAGCGGGATTTACATAGAGTCCACCCAGATGCACTGAGTTCATAATTCATCTGAGACAGAAGTCACAGGTAACACACACATCAGAGTGAAAGTCTACCACGCAGCTTTCTCCAGTAAAATGAGATTAAAAAAAAAAAAAAACAAAAAAAAAAAACACAAAAACAAAGCAAAATCCACTCCCCAACCCCAGGTCACAACTTGAATAGTTAGATCTAGACTCCCACTTCAAGCACACAATACATTAATAAATCATGTTCATACACTTGGAGATGAGCGAAGTTCTGGTTACTTACACTTATGTCGAGACTGCAAAGGCTAACAGCATCTTCATCCTGGGTGCTCTGCTTCCGTTTTCGCTGAAAAACAAAGTTGAAATGTTAATAGGAATTGGGCTTTGATTGAGGCAAGAAAAAATCAATCACACATCACATGCAATCCTTATCACTCCTACCTTGTTACCCAAAACCTTTAACTCTGCTGTGTTAACAGTTTCAAAGAAAGTCTGAGAGATTACAGGAAACTGTCAAACACTAGGGTAACAATTATACAATGCAATTATTACTCTGATTCTTTGATTACAGTCTCTTTTGTATACCTTTTTAAGAAACGTCTCTGTGGGGCTGGCACTGTGGTACATGGGTTAAACCATCACTTATGATGCTGGCACTCCATACTGGAGTGCCTGCTTCAAGCTCCAGCTAGTCCATCTCCAATCCAGTTTCCTGCTAATGGGTCTGGGAAGGTGGCAGATAATGGCCCAAGTAGTTAGGACCCTGCCACTCATGTGGGAGACCCAGATGGAATTCCTGACTCTTGGCTTCAGATTGGCCCAGCCCTGGGTGTCGCAGCTAATTGAAGAGTGAACCAACAGATGGAAGGTCTTGGGGTCAGTCTCTCTCTCTCTCTCTCTCTCTCTCTCTCTCTCTCTCCCCACCCCTCCCTCCTTTCCTCTCTCCTTCCCCCATCACTCTGCTTCTTCAGATTAAATAAATCTTTTTTTTTCTTTGACAGGCAGAGTGGACAGTGAGAAAGGGAGACAGAGAGAAAGGTCTTCCTTTGACGTTGATTCACCCCCCCAAGTGGCCACTGCGGCTGGTGCACCACGCTGATCCGAAGCCAGGAGCCAGGTGCTTCTCCTGGTCTCCCATGCGGGTGCAGGGCCCAAGCACCTGGGCCATCCTCCACTGCACTCCAGGGCCACAGCAGACAGCTGGACTGGAAGAGGGGCAACCGGGACAGAAACAGCGCCCCAACTGGGACTAGAACCCAGGATGCTGGCGCCACAGGCGGAGGATTAGCCTAGTGAGCTGTGGCGCCGGCCAGATTAAATAAATCTTAAAAACAAATGTCTTCACACATTAGGGCTTAGACACTTAGACACAAAGTTCAGATTCTGACTAACCTGGAAGAAACTAAACTACAAAAAAAATCTAATTGAGGCCGGCACCTCTCTGTAAAATTAACACAATGGTGCTTCCTTAGATGAGGTTAAGGAGAAGCTTAAATGAAACAGTACATTAAGCTCAGAGCCCAGAGCTGGGTTCATAGCAGGTGTACATCCTGGTGTCTGCTTCCCTCGGCCCGTGTACTGGAGGGTACCTGGTAATTCTTGTTTGGTTCTGAGGCTCAAATTCTCAAAGGATTCCAATATTTGTGTCTCGAGAAAATGGCCGGCAAGCCAGGCAAGGATAAGATACTCAGATTCGGACCATGAGCAACTCTTCTGAGAACTGATCAGTTGAGGATAGGACAGAGGGCCTTCCCAGAACTAGAGAAAACAATTTGTTCCTGGGCCGTTTACTGATGGAATGAAGATGTCTGCCTTGTGCTATCACAAGTCAGTCAAGCCTAACAGGAGATAGCAGAGGCTGCCCATACAGTCATACATTGTGAAAGTGGATGGACAGGGAGAAAGGT